GCTTAAGTGATTAAGTGACAAATTTTAAGAGATCTGGATATAATTCTCCCTAAATTTTAATGAAAGTAACTTTTAATAAGAAATAATTACATAAGGAAACTAATGTGTTAGGGCTGATTAGTTTCTATTATAAAACTTAACATGACACAATCAATTATAATCCGATAAATTGGTTTTGTTGGTTTTCAATCTTCATGAGCATTATGACCATATGAATCTAGTTGAGACATATTACATATGACTCTCATTTTGCATATATTTTTTTAATTGCATTTATTTCATAACCCTCTTATGTGATGGATAAAAGTGTTGGATAACCAAATGGGTCATTGGTGTAAATAATATCTATTGAGTTTTCGTTGAAAATTGTACTGATGGTACTTCAGTTGATTGACCGGTGGGGTAATCTTAAGAGGTAGTTTAAGTGTTAAAATGAACGAGTTATGAATTCAAAAATTCTGAGTTTGAATTTTAGCAATTCTTTGAATTCAAGTTATGAGAGATTTATGCATCATAAATATCTTAATTCTGGTGTGAATGATCTGCTTTTGATCGAATCGAAGTAAATTGACTCGAATATTCTTAACCATTGAACCAAAACAAAACTGCCCGGATAAAGGAATGGGTCATCAAGCCTCAAAGAAGGTAAAAATTGATAGACTTTATTAATTATTATTACTATATGAATTTATATAATATATATCCACTCATGATGGGCCAAGGGCCTAACTTATGTTACTAGTCTAGTTTGAATAAATAATTTAACTAGACAAGATCTAATGGATCCAACCCAAAAGAGGTCTACGTCCAATCAAACTCATCAAGGTTCGAGGGGCTACAACACCAAGGGAGTATAAAGGGCCATCCAAGAGCCTTATCTTAGCCACCTTGGAGTAAGGATTATCCAAGAGTCTCATCTTAGCCACCTTGGAGTAAGGGTCATCCCAAAAGTCTCATTCTAGCCACCTTGGAGTGAGGGTCATTCAAAAACCTTATCTTAGTCACCTTGGAGTAATAGTTATCACAAGAGTCTCATTCTAGCCACCTTGGAATAAGGGTCATTCAAGGGCCTCATCTAGCGCCGCCTTGGAAGAATTCAACCACCATGTTATCCTTTGACCTAATCTTATGAGAAGCGTCGTACCTATCTCATCCGTTGAGAAGATGACGTTTGTTTCACCAAATTAGTCTTTTAGTTACTGATAAGTCGCCTCAATCTGTTAGGAGGCGACTATAAATTGTAAGCCCCACCAATATTTGGGGGGCATCTCATACCATCGAGCATGCCTGCTATCACTCTGATCTCTTTCTTACTGTTTGTATCTCCCTGTTTTCCTTACACTCTTCAAAATAATAAAATACACAGGCGACCCTAGCCCTTCAAAGTAGATGATGTCACTTTGATCGAACCACTATAAATTCTTGTCTCATTTGGCTTATTATCTCTCTCCACTTTATTACTGCATTTATTACTGATCACTTGACATGTGGTATACAAAATCAATTTGTACATCATCAGTTTGGTGCCATATGTGAAAACCGACAAAATTCTCACTTGATCACTTTTCTTGCTATACCAACGACGATCAACATCAGATCCATGAATCAACTCGAAGATAATCCACCACGAGAGGAGAAGGTTGGCCATCCACCAACCAATCTTGTTTCGAATACACAGCAGATGTTAAAAACAATGCAGCAGCTCGTGACTCAGAATTAGTAGATCTTACAACTGATGCTCGCTGGATAACAAGGAGGAGCACAACCTGGAGGACCTCAAGCTAGAAGAGCTCCACGCCCTGCGCATTAAGGAGCTCCCTATTTGGAAGCCCCCTTGGGTGCCCCATACAAAGGAGCCCCGCACCAGAACCATAAGGGACCTCCACTTCCTCTTTAAACTCTCTCTTCTCATGGTGGAGACCCTCATTTTTAAGAGGATGAGGGCGAAAATCAAAGCGTGGAACAAGAGAGTCATTTCCACAACAATTCTAAAAGAGCCCCCAATCACTAGAATGAAAAAATCAAAGAGGTACATAATCAACTAGCCGACGTCTTCAATGCCATGAAGGCATAATGACCTGATAATGTGGACTACCTCGTAAGGCGAACTAACATGTCTTTTGTGCCAGACATGACAAACTACCCTCTTCCTCAAAGGTTCAAAATGTCATCTATCAAAATCTTTGATGGTACAAAAGATCCACTTGATCACCTTGAAACCTACAAGTCCTTAATGTAACTACACAACATCCTCGACGAAATCATGTGTAGAGCATTTCCAACTACTCTAAAGGGATCAGTCCAGCAATGGTTCGCCAAGTTCACCCTTGCCACCATTGGTTCCTTTGCCGAACTAAGCAGGTCCTTCGTGTTGCACTTCACTGGAGGACGCCACCACCAGAAGCCTACCACCCACCTACTCAGCAAAAGTAGGATCAAGACGAAAGCCTGAGGAATTACCTCACTCATTTTAACGAGGAGGTCCTCCAGATTGAGGAGCTTGATGACAAAGTCATCATGACCGCTTTCTTGGGAGGCCTATGCTTATCTAGTTTTTTCTTCTCAATGATAAAGCACCCACCAAAAATCATGCTAGAATTGTGGACAAAAGCTCAAAAATACATAAATGCCAAGGATGTCACCAAAGTCAGGTGAGGTGAGTCCTCGTCATCATCGTCACCACCACCTACGCCCGACTCTAAAAAAAGAAGCCACAAAGGCACAGACATCAACAGATTTTGTGGCTAAACTCACACTGCTTAAGGAGAGAGATTGTCAAGAAGACTCAACACTAGACACCAGGGACCCATCAATGCTCCTACCCAGACGTTCAACTCCTCAGGCGCTAGGCCCCAAGCTCCCAGCACCTCAGACGCCCAGTTCCTCAAGTGTCAGCCCTCTGGCGCCTAGCTCCTCACGATCTAGGTCGTAGGTGCCCAGCACCTCAGGCGATAGCCTTCAGGAGCCAAGCTCCTTAAGATCTAGGCCGCGGGTGCCCAGCCCCTTAGGCACCAAGCCCTAGGCCCCCTAGCACCTTAGGCGCTAGACCTCAAAAGCCAGCTTCTTAGGTGTCAGGCCCCAGGGCATCCAGCTCCTTCGCGCCCTTCTCATCTCAATTTATTAGAATGAGTCTTCAGTTTGGTGACCCTCCCTTGGGCTAATCCTCAAATTCTACCTCTACTCTCAAGTAGGTAGCCTATATCTCCAGTTTAGTGTGTCTCTCGCTGGTCGCCAAAAGCATGGCCTATTTCTGCTTTGTTCTCAAACAAGCAGTCTATGTCTCTAGCTTAATGGTTCTCTTGTGGATCGTCAAAAGCTTAGCTTATCTCTACTCTGCTCTCAAGCAGGAAATCTATGTCTCTAGCTTAGCAGCTCTCTCGCCGATGGCCAAAGCTTGGTCTATCTTTGCTCTGCTCTCAAGCAGGTAGCCTATATCTCTAGGTTATCGGCTCTCTCGCAGATCGCCAAAGCTTTGCCTATCTCTGATCTACTCTCAAGTAGGCAGCATATGTCTCCAACTTAGTGACTTTTTCGCGAATCTCTAAAAGCTCAACCTCAAAAGGTATAACTCTCTCACAAGCAACCCTCAAATTTTGCCTCTGTTCTCATACGGGCAGCCTCACGGTCAGCCTACCTCTAGCTTATCAACTTTCTTACGGTCACCAGAAGCTCAGTCTCAAAAGTTGCAACTCTCTCATGAGCAACCTTAAACTTTGTCTTTGCTCTCACGCAAGCAACCTCTATTTCTTTGCAAGCCGATTTGTTTGCCCATTTCTCTAGGTAATCATGTTAGATATTTTGATGTTTGAGTAACATTATTTTGTCATCTCTAGGCACGTTCTTGAAATTCAAACCGTCTACAACCCGAGAGACTACAATAGATTGAATGTCAGTAATCAGGTCTCATCTTTTTTACGGCCATCCAGCACTGCTGCCGCGCTTAACACCTAGCGCAAACAAGGCCTGCGTTCTTCCAACACTAAGGATTTGACACCTGCTTCTAGCACCAGCCTCATGGCGCCCCCTCGTGGCGCCTAACTCTCAACGTCCCTTTCTTCTACACCTATGCATCCCCATGCCCAGCATCCACTGCTACAACTCGTGGTCATGAATTGTATCAAGAAAGAAAATGGTTCATCAGTCAAAAGAAGTCGCTATTAGCCAAAATTCAAATTCAACCAAATACCCTATTTTCCAAATTTCATTGGACACAGGGTATTGGGGGGCAAATGATAGGCTAGGCCCAAGGGCCCAACTTATGTTACTAGTCTAGTCTGAATAAAGAATCTAACTAGACAAGATCCAATGGGTCCATCCCAAAAGAGGTCCACGCCCAATCAAACTCATCAATGTTCGAAGGGCTACATCACCAACGGAGTAAGAAGAACTATCCAAGAGCCTCATCCTAGCCACCTTGGAGTAAGGGTCATCCAAGAGTCTCATCCACGCTGCCTTAGAAGAAGTCAACCACCACATCATCATTTGATTGGATCTTATAAGAAGCGCCGTAACTACATCATTCGTTAGGAAGATGGTGCCTACTCCACCAAATTAGCCTTTTAGTTACTAATAAACCGTCTCAATCTGTTAGGAGACGACTATAAATTTTAAGACTCGTCAATATTTGGGGGGCATCTCATACCATTGAGCACGCCTGCTATCACTCTCATCTCTTTCTTACTGCTTGTATGTCCTTACTTTCCTTACACTCTCTGAAGTAATAAAATACTTAGGTGACCCTAGCCGTTCAAAGTAGATGTAAGTCACGTTGATCGAACCACATAAATCCTTGTCTTATTTGGCTTATTATCTCTCTCCACTTTATTACTGCATTTATTACTGATCACTTGACAAGTTGTGTACAAAACCAATTTATGCATCATCAACTCATAATACATCATAAAACACGTCCTCGATCAAACTTTGCCATAAATCAAACACAAAAATCATCCATAGGATTTGAAGGAAATCAAAAAAAAAAAAAAAAAGAAACAGACCTCCTTAAATGCATATTTCACACATATAATTTAATCACACTTCATCATATATAGTCCCACACAATCCTCGACTCCAACCAATACCAATGCTAGATCCTACATTTTCGGGCTTTTATAAGTCAATGAATAGCGAAACACATTGTACATGTAATTGCAGGGAAGAAATGTCACGTCTATGAACACGAGGCACATCAATACTGAGCCAGCAAGCAGGGCGAAAACACATTTCTCTGTCATTGCATCCTCCAGAATGTAGGCTTGTAAACATGCCGTGAGAGTGAAGGTTGTTGAGTAGAACATCCCAGTAATGGCAAGAATAAATTTTAATGGCAAAGATACTCTGAAATCCTCCATGTTAAACCGTGACAGTTGAATTGAAAGGAGAGTTCCTAAGGCCAAAAGCGAAGCAAAGAGAGTTGCCCCTATGTATCCCAAGAACAACCTCATTTCCTGCTTCTTATTATTTGATTCATCAAAAAGGATCGGACTACCTTTAGTTTGATCAAAACCTCCAGGAATAGTAAAAAGTGCGGCGAAACTGACTGTGCCAATGAGGGTGGCAACAACCATTAGGCCTTGATTCATATCTTTGGCTGCTTTCTCAGCAGCACTTCTTAGACCTTCGTGTTCCTTTTCAAATACTTCTTTTGCTGTCATTCCTTCATTGTTTTGAACACTCATCAAATGTGGGCAAGAGTCATTCATTATGCGCTGCAAAAAAATAAATAAATAAAAATAACTTTTAATCACAGCGATAATAGTACTTATATACCTGTTGTGGAAAAATTATATGGTGATCGATCATATGAATTTAGAATGGTTAAAAAAAACTCTTAATAAGAATTACTTGTATATAGTTGATTGTAATTAATTTTTAGAATTTCGTTCCCCAGATATGCTCCACTATAAGAAACCTATATTAATCACACTACGCAATGTTATAGAGATGATTTGAATTCAGAATACGAGATCATTATTAGTAGTAAACCCCAATTAATATTGCTACTAAAAATTCAAGTATTACCAGCCTTGGAGCAAAGGCACACTTACTTGAAACCATAGCACATCCCATGCCATTTTTTGTATGACTCCAAGGGGGTCNAGTAGTAAACCCCAATTAATATTGCTACTAAAAATTCAAGTATTACCAGCCTTGGAGCAAAGGCACACTTACTTGAAACCATAGCACATCCCATGCCATTTTTTGTATGACTCCAAGGGGGTCGTTAGGAATGCTATCTTTGTATGTGGCAAGATGCAAAATGGTGTTCTTTTCATCATCAACGTCAGCCCTCCATCTATCGCCCCGGNTCGTTAGGAATGCTATCTTTGTATGTGGCAAGATGCAAAATGGTGTTCTTTTCATCGTCAACGTCAGCCCTCCATCTATCGTCCTTGNACCATAGCACATCCCATGCCATTTTTTGTATGACTCCAAGGGGGTCGTTAGGAATGCTATCTTTGTATGTGGCAAGATGCAAAATGGTGTTCTTTTCATCATCAACGTCAGCCCTCCATCTATCGCCCTTGTCAAATACTTTCCTCTGGAAGAAATCATAAAGGTCTGCCTGTTTATGCTTAACCGCTATATGCAGTATGTTCCTTCCCTTCTCATCGAGGGAATTCACAGCGTCGGGGTAATTTTTAAGGATCTCGTGTGCTAACTCAGCGATGCCATGAATGATTGCTTGTATAAGCGGGTTNTGTTTATGCTTAACCGCTATATGCAGTATGTTCCTTCCCTTCTCATCGAGGGAATTCACAGCGTCGGGGTAATTTTTAAGGATCTCCTGTGCTAACTCAGCGATGCCATGAATGATTGCTTGTATAAGCGGGTTTGGGACTTTGTTCTTCTTCTTCTTCGATGAAAATTCACTCCAACTGGCTTCAGAGGAGTCGTCGTCGTTGTCATCTTCACAGCACACGTTGCGACTCCATTCCTTCTCTTGAAGAATTAGATTTTTTGCCAACGCCATTGTAAGTATGTGTTTTTGCTTTGCATCATCAACTTCTTGAAACCAAGCAAAGCCTGAAAAGAGGGGGGGGTGGGGGGGGTTGAACAAACATTTAGAGATTAACATGGTTTTCTATACTGTGAATCTCTAATTTACCCATCTTTCTTCTATAAATTCCAATTCGTCAATTATGTCCAAACTCAAACCCATATCTCGTACCATACAAATTCTAGGCACACTGAACTTTTACATCATATCTGATAAACCAATTAAGCATAAGATTTTGTTTATATAACAGAAGGAAGAAGGAAATAAGATTGAAGCAGAAAAGATACCACACCTAAGATTAGTTGGGTGAGTGAAGACCTTCCTAACTTGGAGATACCAGCAACTTTGTCATTAAGTTGATTCTCCTCATCACCGGTAGGTTTAGTCTCGACATACATTGGTGGCATATCTGCTCAAAAAAAACCATACAAAAATGTCATGCGGTGAAATTTACATAGCCTACGACCTTTGATCTGTTTTTTTTTTCTTTTCTAAATAACTAAATTAATATACAAAATTTTAATGAAATGTGATCATATTATATAGAATTTATGACCTTTTATTTTTTAAACGGAGGTAGGAACATTTTTAAGTAGGAAAACGGTCATCAATTTAATATATAAAAGATTTAGTATTGTTGTGTATAAGTAGCGATTGTTTTTTATTTTTGTGTTTTTGCTTTTTCCATATCCGATTTGTTCTATTGTGTGAAGAAGCTTAATAACATAGGAATAGATATAGGCACATACAAATTTATTATTCACATACTAATATGAATATAGACCACTTTTTTGCATTAATAAAAAATGCTTGTGTTTTTTTGAAGAAATTATAATTTCATAAAATTACTTTATTAAACTCGTCGCCAAATTCTATATTCCCTTTAAATCAGTTTCCAAAAGATTTATAATAGTCCCTTGCCATTCTCACTAGAGGCAAAGTAATAATTTGATATTGAAAAATATTTTAATAATAAAAATAATTCTTCTTGTACCAAAGTTGGAATCGTAATGCATAGTTATTGTTGGATTGGACGTGGATATATATATATATATGTATACTTACAGCGATAGGTTATAGCTTCAATAATTTGCAGGGGAAGGAAGGCCGTCCTGCCTAGATTTCTTAAATCATACGTAGACCCACTCCTGAAGGAAGATGGCATTGTGGCCAACAAATTCAATGGCGTGTTGCCCTGATCACCNTAGGTTATAGCTTCAATAATTTGCAGGGGAAGGAAGGCCGTCCTGCCTAGATTTCTTAAATCATACGTACACCCACTCCTGAAGGAAGATGGCATTGTGGCCAACAAATTCAATGGCGTGTTGCCCTGATCATCATGTTTCTGAGCTAGCTCTTCGTGTGAGCCTGCTATATGAATAGCCATTCCTAGGTCACAAAACATAAAAATCAATCATCATGGCCACATTAAACATGCTTGCGATAAAGTTAAATAGTCTTAGATTAAACATGTTATTGCCCATGGTAGAAGGAACGAAATAATATAAAAATTAATAATCATAAATATAGTTGTATTCACTTTCGAAATCAGATCACAAATATAGAGCAAAGAGAAATGAATTTAAACACCAGTTGTAGTGGAGATAAGCGGTAGTAGTTATGGTGGGCTACAGGTTATGATGAGAGACGGTGATATTTGTGATGAGCGGCGACGACTATGGTAGTGGTGACAGTCGTGGGCAGTAACGGTGATGATGGTGCTGAATTTTGAGTGACAATAGTGATAGTAACAATCATGAGTAACGACAATGATGGTGGTGCACATAGGTGGTAGTGGGTGATGGTGAAGGTGGAAGACAGTGGTGATGGTGGGGTGGCGATGATAGTAATGATTGTGATNTAGTTGTATTCACTTTCAAAATCAGGTCACAAATATAGAGTAAAGAGAAATGAATTTAAACACCAGTTGTAGTGGAGATAAGCGGTGGTAATTATGGTGGGCTACAGGTTATGATGAGAGACGGTGATGTTTGTGATGAGCGGCGACGACTATGGTAGTGGTGACAGTCGTGGGCAGTAACGGTGATGATGGTACTGAATTTTGAGTGACAATAGTGATAGTGACAATCATGAGTAACGACGATGATGGTGGTGCATATAGGTGGTAGTGGGTGATGGTGAAGGTGGATGACAGTGGTGATGGTGGGGTGGCGATGATAGTAATGATTGTGGTAGAGGTGGTGATGGGATGAAGGCGATGGTGGTTAGGTGGCAACAACCGTGATGGGGAAGGGGGTGGTGGTGGTGGTGGTGTGGCAGTGATGGTGGTGGTGTGACAATGGGGGTGGGGGTGGTAGGGTGGCGACAGTAACGTTGGTTGTGGGACAATGGTTATGGGAAAGGTGCTAGTGGGGGTAGAGGATGTGGTGGTGGTGGGGGTGGTGGTGATGATGATGGTGGTGGGGTAGTTCCAAATACTATTTTTTTTAAAATTGTTTTGAAAAATTATTAGCAATACACGACGTACGTTACACGTAAATAAATTTAAATAATATTTCTTTTATAAAAAACGTGAATAATATGAGTAATGAAATTAAATAATAAATTAAGTGTCAAATAATTACTCATATTTTATTTTATGAGTCTTTGAATAACTAATCTCTCATATTTTTTAGGTATCTTTTTGACCCTTTGAATTATTAATTTTTATTTTATTAAATAAATTGATTAGATCACTTATAATATTATTATATTATTGCATTCTAAAAAATAAAATATAACATATATTTAACTGTAAAATTCAACTTGATAATTACATGTGTATAATAATTTAACTTATATAGGACTTTATTTCTATATATATATATATATATATATATATATATATACTACTAATAAAGTTTAAAAGAATTTAGAAATCTTNATATTATTATATTATTGCATTCTAAAAAATAAAATATAACATATATTTAACTGTAAAATTCAACTTGATAATTACATGTGTATAATAATTTAACTTATATAGGACAGTTATATATATATATATGTAACTGTACTACTAATAAAGTTTAAAAGAATTTAGAAATCTTTATAAAAGCATTAAAAATAAGTTGAAAGTCAAATAAGAGTAAAAAATAAAATTTAGATAAAAGTATATATGTGAGTATAATTGACTTTATCAGAATAATTAGGGATAAAATAGAAAATTAAAAGTTTTTGATGCTGACATTTATAAATAGTATAGATTATAAATTCTAGAAGCACTTCTAAAAAGTCACCTCAAACACACTCTTAGGGGTTATTTTTTCTATTAAATTTTGGGAGTCAATATTAGTCNACTTCTAAAAAGTCACCTCAAACACACTCTTAGGGGTTATTTTTTCTATTAAATTTGGGGAGTTAATATTAGCCNTTTGATGCTGACATTTATAAATAGTATAGATTATAAATTCTAGAAGCACTTCTAAAAAGTCACCTCAAACACACTCTTAGGGGTTATTTTTTCTATTAAATTTTGGGAGTCAATATTAGTCGTCGAATTAATTTCAAAGTAAAATTTAAAATGATCTCAATTGTAAAAAATAAAAATTATTTTATTTATTTTTTGAAATCTAAATTGTTTTGTATTTTATTATATAGATATATATGTGTGTGTGTCTATATCTAATACACACATATCCATATTTATATATGATACGACAATAATATGGTTCAATATTATTGTTGTGACTGTAGCTATTTTTTTTTTCGTCAAGATTATATCACTTATGACATCATTATGTTAACAAATTAGATTGTTTTTAAGTTTTACAAGTATTAATTATTTGTATATGAATAATATTATTTAAATTTAATTTATTGACCTAAATAATAGTTCTAATCATTTATCATTATTAGATTTGACAATCAAACTTAGTATTTATTGGGACATCCACCTAATTAAAAGATTGTGATGAATCAGTCGTGTTATTTTTTGTATATGTCTTATTTCAAAGTGTATCAAACTAAGAATAAAACAATTGTATAGAAAATAAAAATAAAAATAAAGAATTATTTTTTTTGGTTAAACATAAAAAGAACAGAGATAAAGGAGAGCGTTCAGAGCTACTCGAACGCTTCTTACTAATAGAATTATAAGATTTTTGACTGTGTCGGTCACTCTTGTTACGAACGAAGTTAACTAAATTAGTATAAAACAATGGTTAATAATGAAACCTCAATGTAGGCGGTAAGACTCAAAACTCTTACGTTAGTNGTAGGGACCAGATCGAGGATGCTCACCTGGACTTTGACTTGCATTCCTTTGCGCTGTGGCTTGAGTACAAGATGGGGACCACGGTAGCTAAAGAGGTTGAGTCGTCGGGTGCTAAAGGGTTTCCGTTTCCAAGGTTACCGAGTCTGAGGAGCCCAATGTTCCAGTTGAAACAACTAACGAAGGAGCCAGTGGCGGAGGANGGGTTTCCGTTTCCAAGGTTACCGAGTCTGAGGAGCCCAATGTTCCAGTTGAAACAACTAACGAAGGAGCCAGTGGCGGAGGAGAGACAGCTTCCTGAAGTGGACCCGCAGTCGCTTCTTTCCTTTTCTTTTTTTGTTTTTCTGTGATTCGCTAAAAACCTTTGTAGCACTTTATTTTCTTCTAAATGTCGATGTAACTTTCAGATTAAATCTTAGCACAACTTTTCCAATAGGGATGTTGTTGGTTTCTCCTTCCCAGTGAATGACATGTTCATCTTTGGCTATGTCAGGTGAAAATGATAATGTTGTTTTCTGACTTTGAGGCCCCCCAACTATGGTTCCCAAGTCATTTTCGAGTGGCTTATCAATCGTGATGCTTCGGTGACCCCCATGACGCCACGTGTTCCTTTCTTAAATGTGAGGGATGCGAATTAATTGCGCTTGGTAGAGATGATGGATGCACGTCAGCTGAGGTTATAAACGGACGCTTCCGGAGAATGATTGTCTTGCCTTGGGCACCAAAACTTTTTGCTTTTCCCGTCGTTGTTACACTTCTTCTTCTTCGGTGCTTTCATAGGAAAACGTTTTTNAAGCTAAACTTACTGTAATGTTCTCCTATCACCGCCGCATGAAGAACAGTGGAGCCGTCGTTTCTCCTCTGACTTATGATTTCTTGGCAGTGTTTTTCAAGGAACTCGAAAATTTCAATCTCTCCAGAAGCAGCAGCAACATAAAGAGGAGTCTCTCCCAACTCATTCCGCACCAAAACCAACCCTCCTGGTCCTGGTTCCTCATTCACCATCATCTCTACAATCTCCTTTTGACCGTACCTCACCGCCTCATGCAGCGCCGTGTCTCCCCTATCGTTCTGCTTCATGAGCTGAGCACCGGTCAGCAGGCGTTTGCCAAGCAGTTCTTTGATGACTTCGTCGTTGCCGGAGATGGCCAAGAAGTGGAGGATGGTGTCGCCGCGGTCGTATAATTGGGTGGCGCCGCCCTCTCTCCAGAAGCAGCAGAAGTATGATTTTGCTTGTAGTGTCTTTTGTGAAGCGTAGCTGTAAGCTTCGCTGCGGCGGTTGGCGCTGATCATGGTGGTGGTGGTGCACAAACTTGCCAGTTTAAGAGCTGAATGACGTGATTGTTTTTGGGCAAGTGTGAGAAAAAAAAAGAAGTGAAGGAATGCACTGAATTTATAGAGAGCTCCTTCAGTAAAGNGCCAGTTTAAGAGCTGAATGACGTGATTGTTTTTGGGCAAGTGTGAGAAAAAAAAAGAAGTGAAGGAATGCACTGAATTTATAGAGAGCTCCTTCAGTAAAGCAAGTGTATGCAGCAGTACCAGCAATAGAAATTATAAATATTGTGTGCTCGGCAGGTATCATCCGACACCGTTTGGTGATGTATATCACACAAATAATGTTACGTTTATATACAAATTATTATATATTGTTAAATAATATAGATATAAAATATTTTATATTTGCATTTGTGTCTAACAAAATAAATTATACGGTAAACACCACTTGAGATCGTCATGTCGCCGGGTTACCGGCTGTACTGTACCAAAAATTATAAATTTTTAAAGTTAAGTTATAAATTTTTTGGAGAAAATTTTAGTCACATCTCTTCTAATTTATTATATTTTTAAGAACACCCTCCTCTATTATTCAAAACATCACTGGCACCCCTTGTTGTTAAACTATTATTTCTAGCAAAAAAAATTATTTATAATACCAAAATTGTCCCAACATAAACTCTAAAAAAATTTTCTACATAAAATTTGATTTAATTTCTAGCCGATTAAAATTTATTTTTTTAANAATTGTCCCAACATAAACTCTAAAAAAATTTTCTACATAAAATTTGATTTAATTTCTAGCCGATTAAAATTTATTTTTTTAATCATAAAAATTTGAGTTGATTAAAATTTATTTTTCTACATATTAAAATTTTTGCCAATTAAAATTCAATTCGATCTAATTAAATTTTATTGTTTTTAAGTATTAAAATTCTAGCCTATTAAAAAAAAAATT